GTCGGGCATTATCCCTTACTTATAATAATATAAGTCATCAACAATCAGGCTGATAAAACGATGATAAATATGTTTTCTGAGCTGTAAAAGAGGGTTGAGGGGTTAGGAATGAGTTGGATTAAATTAGGGTTGATCATTTATTTTATTAAAATCTCTCATTACAATCCTTTAAAGTGCTTGTCTTGTTCGACCAACAGTCCAAAAACCCAAAGACATCAAGTTTACAATGATATAAAACCGAGAGAAGCTGAAGCAGATGTTTGATGAAAGACTTTAACGGTTAATCAATGATGAAAATGTCTTGCGGTTACATTCTTTTTTTTTATTAATGGACTAATTAGTTCCCAATTCATTTCAGGCTATTTGTGGTTCTTCAGATTTTATTATCTCCACTCCTCATTTCAGCCTCACCAACCCTCCACATAATGTGCCCATACTCCAGTAGCTGCCACTCAGTCATGAAACTCAGCCAGATGTTAGAAGCTGTACGATAAAAAAAGCCCACCTGATAGAGTCAAGTAATAATGTGCTTACAGGCAGGTTTTTTCTCAGTCCCTCATTAAAAGTGATTGGGCAGCTTTGTTGGCTCAAGGTTGTGATTATCAACAGTCCTGCAGCAGCTCTGCCAGGCTGGATTATAGTGTTTGAGGTAGGAAGGAGCTGATGTGCAGCCAGCTGTTTGTTCATTGTTATGGAAAAAACATAAATGACTAGTTGAGTAAAAGCTCGTGATGTTAGACTAACTGATGTTTATTTCAATTATTACATCAAATTACACACATAAAGCACACTGGTTTAAATCCTGTAATTATAGTCTGAGGTGATATTTCAGGATATTTTACTTTTTAAGTCATCATGAAATAACGATATTGTAGCTGATCAATGATGGTGCATTGATAGTTTATATAATGGACAGAGCTTCTGGGTCTGTGAAGTGTCTTAAACCTGCATTCTGTGTAACAGGCAGCAGGGTGCAGCTCCACTGGCTGCAATAACAACCGATAGTATTGAGTCTTATAGAGAAATAAGCCGACTTCTCAGTTGATTAGGTGTAAAATACAGAAAACAAAAACATTTTTTGGCAGAGCAGTGTAACAGAGACAAATGGACTTAGGGAGGTTTTCTACATGAGAGCTCATTAATGGAAACTTGACAGTTTTATTCTTGAATGCTTTCAGACAGAAAGGCAGAACAAGTGAAATTATACACTTCTTTTCATTGTCTTCCTTCAGTGATTACAATTCAATTTCCATCTGGAGAAAACCATGTGATACAGTTTCTTTTTTTTAATCAGAAATCTTGCATGACTGTTCCGCCCTCATGAAATTCATGGAATCCCTCATGCAAGAAAATATAAATAGACATTTTCCTGACTGTATGTGCTTAGTACTTCAGATTTCAGAAGAAGCTGATGTTTTATGCACATTTTGTAGCAGCTGGTTAAACTTCAGAGACCTTTGTCCTGTCCATTATAGGGTATAATGGACTGTATGAGTGAACTTTTTACTGTACATACAGATATAAAGTCAAATATAAGTCCTTGTAGACATTCTACTTATTTTACAGCATTGTTACCTGTTGCTAAAGTGTGTTGAAGTACAATATTCAGTCTGTTGATTCTACAGATGTAATGTAGATGCCGTGGTAGCAAACTGTCAATCACAAGGTAGCCCCGCCCTAAAGCATACCCTGCTTTATGGTCTAGTTTACTCTAAATGAGACCATCATTTACTAAATGAACATCATGCAACACATTTGAGAAGCAGCAACCAAAACATCTTTGAATTACTCTGTAATTAGAATAGTTGCTGCTTAATTTTCTGCTAATCCATTCATCGACTAATTGTTGAAGCTCTAGATTTATGCTTTGTTGTCTTCTACAGCTGCCAGTTATTTATGATATTAATTTGATTATATAAATATACATATTTGAAAAGCAGCCTGTTAAATGCTAACTGAAACAGTGGTAATGATTGTGAATGCGTCAGAACAACCAGCAAGGAGACTGAACATTTAGTTTATTTGTTCCAACACAGTATAACATCACACAGTCTGGTTGTTCAACACACGGAATAAATAACTTCCAACATCACTGTAACAAATCTTGGGGGACCGATCGATACGATGGATGATGGATAATGTTAACAGTTACCGACTAATTAAGTGGCTGCAAACTGGCTCCCTTTCCTCCATTTCATTCCTCCGAACCAGCCGGGTCTTCATCCCTTGAGTCAGAGTCCTGGTCGGAGCCACTGGAGATCAGCCGGCCTCTGTTGGTCCGCCCCGCTCCGGCTTTGAAGATTATGACTAACTCATGTGTTTTAAACTCAGGGACACTTTTCACATCCAAAAAGGAGCCGGACACAGATTACAGCACTGGACGTGAATAACAATAGTGGTGGAAAGCAGTGTCACAATGCTACTTAATGAAATAATCACTTCTTCTGTCAGATGAGATTACCCCAACCAGAACTTCTCACTGCATTAATAACTGTGATATTATAATTGAGAGTCAGTAAACTCCCTCTGATGTATCTCTCAGTATTCAGACAGCACCTTTTCCTTCAGGACTTACAGACGATTATTTGGTGTTTGATGCTACGCTTATGCATTATAAATCGTTTTTCATCAGTCAAATAAAACACAAGATGAATGGAGGAGAGATTTCTGCCTTTAATCTGTTAAATGTAAAAACTTTTATCCTTTAATCCTCTGTAAGGTCTGTTTTGTATGGACGATTCTAGCAGTGGAAACAGTACTTACAAGAATTTGAACATTGCTAAGAACCCTCTTTCTTTGAAACGTTGTTATTCTATTTCCATATTTGATTCGGCATTATCAGACCTCTCAGACATTTCTCTCATTTTTCCTGCTCTCTTAGAGACCGTGTCATTGTGAAAATCAATTTCATTTGCACTTCAGTCACAAAAATACATTACATATTCTAACTACGCTCCATGAAAAGTATGAATCAATTCAGTGTAGAAATGTAATTGTGACGACTCTTATCCACCGTCTACCGGTAACCGCTGTAACCGAAGTCACTTAAACGTGACAACTGCGGCGAACGTCTTATGAATGATCGGGGAGAAGAGAGCGGGAGGGAGGAGGCCCACAGAGAGATCCTGTGGGAAGATTTATTGACCGTTACTGTGGAAAATAAAACACCGATGTTGTGCCAAGCTCACTTTCCTTCTTTTACCTGTCCTCTGCAGCAAATCTTAGAGAAAATAGAAGCACAAAAAGAGAATATTTACCCATGTTTGAGTTTCTCTCCTCCACTCTGTTCTGTTTATTATTCTCTCCTCTCTCCATGTTTCATTTCTCCTGTGCATATACGCCCTGGCATGCTCTTTCCCTAACCTCTATCCGCTCTCTTCCTCTTCTCTTCTTCATGGTTCACTAAACGCAAACTTTTATAATTCCCCGTTGCTGCATTCTTTTCTCCTCAGTAGCTTGATTCTTGTGCAGGTTTGAAGGCAGAAGGTGTGCGGCGTCTGGCTGACAAGCACACTCCGAGACCATAAATCTCCGAACATATGAGAGGCAGCACACATAATCTGTCAGGCTGTTTGCAGCGTTAAGAGACGTGTGTGGGTGCTTGTGTACGGTTGCTGCCTTTTAAAAGACTCTAAAAAAACATTATTAATGTAGAAGGAGCAAATCCCCAAGAGATAATTCGGTGCAACAGATTGTAAGTGTGCATGCATGTGTGTTTTGTACGTAATGTTTATGTCTTTCGACACTATTATTAGTGTTTCCTACATGTTTGCGTACACATGCATGGCTGAGTGTCATGCCTGCATGCTTTTAGCTTGTTGTAGCCTCCAGAAATCAAACGGCGCCCATATAGCGCTTGCGAGGACTGGGCAAAGACCGCAGATGCAGAAGGCAATCGGAGCTGGCTTCACATAGCACTGTGGGAGCTCATTACTGTATTCTTTGGGCTGGAAAATGTCTGTCAGTGAGGATTCATTAAAAGCCAACCTGCTGCAGCAAGCTCCTGGTAGCACTGTAATGAGAGGTCCTTCACAATTTGGGCTCCCCAGTGGTTCAGATTGGACAGGTGAAATATCGGTGGCAATCTGCATTACAGATAGAGGCTGGCTTTGTTGTGGTCATTAACATTACAATGCTCGTGTTCGCTCAGTTCTTTACGGAACAGTTGAAACCAGTCGTCTGCTCGGGGCCGGAGCTCTTTCTGGTAGAATAACATCCATTCATTTTATCTTTCTTCACAAACATTTTGGCAATTGCTGCTTGGTTTTCTATCACCGTGCCTCCACTCTCCTCTTTTGAAATTTCAATTGAAGCATTGTTCAGTAGTTTCTCGTGCGTCATTATTAATGCAGGTGGACTATTCTGAGGGCAGCCTGGGCGTATTTAGACTCTAATGTTGGTTGGAGTCGGTTTGTTTAACCTGGCTCGGCGTGCCACTCTGGGTCTAATTTTATCTTCAGGATTCAGCTCCCTCTTTGTCGAACCTCTGTTGGTAGAGGAAGATGTGACGGCTGCTTTGTCTGAGGTAAACTGTTTATTTGTCTGTGCCTGTGTGCTAAAAGCTTTCTTTTCCAGCCGCTGTTTTGTGTCTTTGCATTGATTTCCCAAGGCCATTTTGCGTTGCTTTTGTTTGTGTGTTCTACATTTTTTGGTGTCAACTCATTGATTACTGTGTTGCCGCTGCAGCAGAAAGAAACGTCTCAGCATCATCTCTTCTTCTTTTCACTCTCCCAACTTCTTATCTTGTGTCTTGCAGACTCGCACGCCACGTGTGACACGACTCAGCCCAACACAGCCGGCTCTTGCTGACCAGGCCAGCAGGGTGTCCTTTGCGTCAGCTGAAAATCTGGAGACCATGTCAGAGCCGGATATACCCATCGGCTTTAACCGGATGAACCGGCTCCGCCAGAGCCTGCCGCTGGCCCGCTCGTCCAGCCAGGCCAAGCTGCGGGCGCCAGGTCAGACCATTTTAAGAAAAAAATCCAAACTGTTGTCTTGACTTTGACTTTTTTTTTTGATTAACTTGTTCCTTTGCTTCAGATATAAACAAAAAACACAATAAAAACAAAGCTAAACCTAGTGGCGACGTACCCAAGGGTCTCCGTTGATATTTGCAAGGATCTAAAATTTAGCAATGAATAGACACAGGGATTACTGTAATTACTTGACTTTATCTGCCATCGCTTACCATGCTGGGTCCCAGCTCCAGCACCAATATATGTGTTAATCCATTCAGGTTCTTATGTGGAGGTTTCCAACTTAAAGCCAGCATATTCTTGGCAGCAGTGATTGGAGAATACGTTAATTTTAATGAGGCGGTATCATTTAAGAGTAGCACAGCACGATACATGGCACAGCTACATCCAGCACATCGGATACATGGTATGACACAGCTGGATAGAAACTGGCTGCAGTAGCTTTAAACATCAGCATGTTAGCGTTGTCATTGTTGCATGTTTGTATGCTGATGTTAGCATTTAGCTCAAAGCACTGCTGTGCTCACTGAGCCGCTAGCATGGCTGTAGACCAGAACCCTGCTGGCTTATTTCTTTCTAAACCACCCCTTTATGTACACATAAAATAAAAACACAATGCTATTAGTAAAAGTCAAAGGTGCCTGCGAACAGTTCTGGGTTCATTTGTTCAGTAGATGTTAATGGCAATATTTTCTGAACGCACTTTCTCTGCCGACACTCACTCATGTGCAGATCAGAGGCTCCTTATATAACAGACTACATGTCATTTTACCTGTAAGACTCTTTCAGTGTCGTCTAACATGACTGCAGTAGAGGAAATAAAGGTTTGACACCGTTTCCTGGATTGCTCTGCTCTATCCTCCTGTTTCATCACTCGTCTCCATTTTCATGACAGTTAGATCATTTTGAGACAAGGCCGAGTTTATAAAAGCTGCCGTGTTGTTTTCCTGTGTTGCTCTGATTGCAGTGACGCCGGGAGACAAAAGGCCAAAGATCCAACTGATATCATTCTGCACTGATGATTCAATTCAGCCCCAGTAAAGGGCGCCGCTCACATTAACGTACCCTTGTTTTCACTGTCTTGTGTCAGACTTGATGAGTGTGGGTGTGTCCACTCTACTGACAGCATTGCTGTGATTGACAGGTCACCAGCCAATCACACACCGGACGTGTCCATGCATGTAAACTATTAATCTTACTTGATGGTTTTGACAAGCAGTAGCAAACAAGACTCATTAGTTGTGACTATACGGCAGCGTCCTCTTACAGGGAGTCACTTATTTGAGCTGACTGCAGGCATCAAGCGTTAGTAAACCAGATACAGCCCTCTGAGTGTGGAGTCAGACTTCAGTCCGCTGCCTATAGGAACTCTGAATATAAACAGAGCTGTCTGATGCTTCCGAACGATCTCGACAAGCTACCTGTCGTCTTTGATTAATGGCTCGGGCAAGAAGCAAAATCATCTGCTTCTTTAAAGCGTCGCGCATATGAAGAGGAGGGTGATGCATTTGCAGGAGTTAGAAAATGTGGGACAAAATGCAACTGATGATTGATTGTAAAGCTTAACCTCTGTTAAAGCCACTGGAGACCGAGATCCACAATAGCCTTCTAACTATGTTATTTAGGTCTTATGTACATAATAGTAAGCATCTACACATGGTAGCTAGTGCGTACGCTGAGTCGCATGGTGCTATTCATTTTTTACTATTTCAAGCCACATTTCCAGAGGCTTTAAGGAATTCTTATTTTTCACAAACTACCAGGAGAGTGTTGATAATATATTTAATGTGCAAAACTACAACCTTCAGTCAGTTTATGGTAATTTACGCTCAAATGCATCATGTAAACAAAGCTTTTTTCCACAGAGGTTTTAAAGGTTCTATAACACGTCTATCGCAGTTAATTTTCCCTTTCTGCAATTTTCACTTTGCTATAGCAGCATCCAGGTGGGTGATAATTATGTGTCATTTTATGGAGCTTTATTTGTTCAGGTGTGATCATTGCACAGAGGAGAATGGATGTTCAAAGCGACCGTAGAAGAGATACTGTTAGCAGACATAACAGGAAAATATTTCACTTCGTATACTAATGTTTGAAAATGTAGATCAATCTGTGCACCTCTATTTCGCTTTAGTGAGACAATGTCAGATACAGATGAGGCTCAAAATGGCATCTTAAACAATAACTTACCTAAATTAAGTCTGTAAATTATATGTACAGTCACTTTCTTTATACTATGAATTGATCCAGTCTATAGTGTGTATGTCTGTGTTGGTTATTTGACTTTTTCCAGAGAAAATCTGTGAAAAATCTTGTACTCGATGCCCCTAAACTACAAGGCAACGTCACATTCTTCCGCTCTCACACATCCCCCACATGTAAATACAGATAGCAGCAGTAGTAGCGAGTGAAGCCAGTACACACCAGGTGTAGTCATTAAAACGAGGTTTATGTATGTGTTAGCATGGTTCTGTGATTTCTGAATGAACGCCAGATAGCCAGATATATTTTGCATTAACACAGCTGAAATGTGTTAGATGAGTAACAGTCGGGGCAAAGACTGGATGTAACAGAGCTGTGAGGTGGCGGCGGGGGGTGTCAGTAGTTTTGGGATCACTGCGGGGTCAGGAGGTGGTGGGATGCTGTATGGGGTCAGCAACGCTAATATTGTTAGATGAAAATTGTCCCTCCACTCTCTGTCTTCATCCCCGACTCTAAAACTTCATCACCTCCCCCTCCTCACCCCTTTAACCATCACGGATTTCCCTCATTGCTCCTCCCCATCCATAAATGCAGGGATCTTGTTCCTCCAGCTTGGGGAGGAGACTCGCAGGGTGCACCTGACCCACGAGCTGACCAGCCTGGATACTCTGAGGGCCCTCATCGTGCACATGTTCCCCCAGAGGCTCACCATGGCCATGCTCAGGTACGGGTAGGTGTGTGTGTGTGTGTGTGTGTGTGTGTGTATCTATGCTATTGAACCGTCTACAGGCTCATTGATTGGCCTACATCTCATCAAATAATGTGAGCTGTGTAAGTGACACATTGCGATTTCATCCGTAGCGCAGACACAGGAATAAAAATAATAGGTTTTGTAAACAGGTGGAGAATGAAAGCGGGACAGAGTGAGACAAACAGATAGAAATCAATAAAACCAAAGGAGGTGTGAAACAGAGGCTTTCAGGCCACAAGTGGACGTGAATTAAATCTCATTTTTAGAGTTGGAGCTTAAAAATCATGTTGAAATGAAAAGTCAAACTGGAATTTGACTTCTTCTTACTGTTTGTGTAAAGAAATATGTACTGTAATAATAATATTAATAATATTAATGATAATAATAATACATCTTTTGTATGAATACAGCATTTTTGGACACATTTGTGGAAACATCAGCAGAGCTTCGGGGCCTCTGAGTAGGTGGTTCTTGTTGTCTGTAGTGTGTTACTAACTCGAGCTTTTCACAGCTCTGCCCACGACTATTGATACCATAAAACTTCAATTAATAGCCCAGGCTTTTATTTGCTTCAATCATTGAACTCAACCTGCCTTTATAGGGAACAGGCCTTTAATTCCTTTGGCACAAAAGTCTTGTTCAACAAACTGTGTATTACCAGTATGAAGGTTACTTGTATAAAAATGAGGCTATTGAATATCATATCAGTTACATCATTCACTCTACTTGTGAAGTGGCAGCTAGCAGGCTAGGTTGACTAGTAGTTAGCCAAGGTTAGTAGCATTAGCACTGATCACGTTACACTTAGTTTATGTTATTTCAACACCTGCTGAGTCACCTCATGAACATACCAAGATGTTTTATTTAATACGCTGTAGAAATGTTACAAATACTCTATAAACTATCTGTAGGTGGATTCTCCAAATAAAGTGGAACCCAGACTTTTTGCCACACTATGTTGTAAGTTCGTGTGCAGGACAAAAACTTTTCCCATTTTCAAAAAAAAGTCAGTATTAAATGACTTTCATCAGGCTGTTAATTATAGATTATCTACCCAGCGATACATACAGTTCACATTGATATTGTCAGCGGGACTCTTAACTCCAAACTCACTGAATATTACACTTCTGATGAGTTCTGCGTCCAGTTGATTCTCTCATTACAGGCTCCTCATGCAGCTAA